CGACTCTGGCATGCGAGACTCCGTCAAGTTTGGGGACGACTCCGCCGTGGAGATCAAGGGCGTTGGCTTCGTCGTGTTCACCGCGAAGACCGGCGAGCACCGTCTGCTCACCGGTGTCTACTGCCTCCCCGCGTTGAGGAACTCCATCATTAGCTTGAGACAACTGGATGAGAATGGCTCACGCGTGGAGATCGAGCATGGGGTCCTGCACATCTAGGAATGGCGTTGCCGCCTTCTCGGCAAGGTGAACAGAGGGAGCAACCGCCTCTACGTCCTTCACGTGCAGGTGGCGTAGCCCCTTTGTCTTGCAGTTCGTCCGGCCTGCCGCGACGATGACGCATGGCGGTGGCACGAGCGCTTTGGGCACCTCAACTTTGAGGCCCTGAAGCAGCTCGGCAACAAGGAGATGATGCAGGGTATGCCGCGCATCGAGCATGTGGAGTAGTTCTGCGACACCTGCGTCCTCACCAAGCTTGTGTGCCAAGGAGAAGCTGGAGCTTGTGCACGGCGACCTCTGCGGCCCCGTGACACCGGCTACACCTGGAGGTCGGTGCTTCTTCCTCCTCGTCGACGACATGTCCCGCTACATTTGGGCGGTCCTGCTTGACACCAAGGCTACAGCTGCAGACGGCATCAAGTGCCGTCAAGCTGTTACTGAGGAGTGCGTTCGCAAGCTTCGGGTGCTGCGCACGGACAACGATGACGAGTTCACGGCGACTGAATTCATGGCGTACTGTGCCAACGAGGGGATCCAGCACCACTTCTTCGCACCGTACACCTCGGAGCAGAATGGCATCGTCGAGCGCCGCAACCAGATGGTGGTGGTCACCGTGCGAGCCCTCCTTAAGCAGAGGGGGATGTCGGTGATCTACTTACTTGGGGGAGGCGGTGATGACCGCCATCCATATCCTCAACCGCTTGCCCACCAAGGCCCTTGACGGCAAGACGCCGTACGAGGCCTGCACGGGCACAAGCAGACGGTCAGCCACCTCCACGTCTTCGGCTGCCTGGCGTTCATCAAGGAGCTCAACCACGTCGGCAAGCTCGATGACTGGAGCACGCCAGGGGTCTTCATCGGCTACGCGGAGGGCGTCAAGGCCAATCGCATCCTCGACCCAGTGACAGTGCGTCCGCATCTCACGTGACGTCGTGTTCGACGAAGGGCGAGGCTGGACCTGGGGCAAGATGGTGGACAATGGCTCGACTCCGACGATCAGTGACTTTGTCGTCGACTACGTCCACTTTGAGGGAGCAGGGGTAGCTAGCAACTCGTCTTCACCGAGCTGGTCTACCCCGCCACCAGCTCCAGCGAGTCCACCACCTACACCACCGGCTACGCCCCGCTCTCCTGCACCGGCTGCTCACTCTCTAGCACTGGCCACGCCCCAACCTCCTACACCAGCAGCGCCCACACCTCTAGGATTGGCATCGGCGACTTCGGTCCATGACGAGCAGCGCACGGTGGAGTTCGCCACTCTGCTGTCCAATGATGAGGACCGCGTTGATGCCTACCACGATGACAAGCCTCTGTGCTACCGCATCATGGACAACATCCTCGTAGAGTAGCCCGTCCTTGGACTAGCGATGCACGACTTCGAGGCGGAGCTGCACCTGGCGCACTACGACGGAGAGCCCTGCTCCTTCGCTGAGGTGGAGGGAGATACGGCCTAGCGTTCCGCGATGCAGCACGAGATGGATGCTGTCGAGTGGAATCGGACGTGGGAGCTGGTGGATCTTCCTGCCGGCCACTGTGCCATCACCCTTAAGTGGGTCTTCTCAAGGTCAAGAAGGATGAGGCGGGGGCGGTGATCAAGCACAAGGCGCGTCTGGTGGCGCGTGGGTTCGTCCAGTAGGAGGGAGTCGACTTCGACGATGCCTTCGCACCCGTCGTGCGGATGGAGTTCGTCCGTGTCCTCTCACTGGTAGCCTAGGATTGTTGGTGTGTCCACCACATGGACGTCAAGTTTGCCTTCCTCAATGGCGACCTGAAGGAGGAGGTCTACGTTCGCCGGCCGTCGGGATTCGTCATCCCCGGCAAGAAGAACAAGGTTCTCCGCCTGCGGAAGGCCCTCTATGGCTTGTAGCAGGCACCATGAGCTTGGAACGCCAAGCTGAACTCCATCCTCAAGCAAATGGGGTTCCAGCAGAGCGCTCACGAGGCTGCTGTCTACCGGCGGGGCAAGGGAGGCAATGCCCTACTGGTGGGCATCTATGTCGACGACTTAGTGATCACCGGCAACAAGGAAGAAGAGGTGGAGGTGTTCAAGGATGAGATGAAGGTCGCCTTCTAGATGAGTGAGCTGGGGCTGCTCCCTTTCTACCTGGGGATCGAGGTCCACCAGGATCGCTCCGGCATCTCCCTTCGCTAGACCGCCTACGCCAAGCGCATCGTCGAGCTAGGCGGGCTCACCGACTGCAACCCAGCCCACACTCCCATTGAGGAGAGGCTAAAGCTGAGCCACGACAGCATGGTGGAGGTTGACGCCACGCAGTACCGGTGCGTTGTGGGCAGCCTTTGCTACCTCGCCCACACGTGGCCGGACCTGGCGTTCGTCGTTGGCTATGTCAGTCGGTTCATGCAGCGACCGATGACGGAGCATTAGCACGCTGTCAATAGGATCCTATAGTACGTCGCGAGCACCTCTGACTATGGCTTGCACTACCCGAGGTGCCCCGGCGCGGCGCACTTCATCGGGTACCGCGACAGCGACCACGCTGGCGACATCGACATAATCAAGGGCACCAGCAGGACTTTCTTCCTCGGCAAGTGTCTGATCAGCTAGCAGTCGGTCAAGCAGCAGGTGGTGGCTCTGTCCAGTTGCGAGGTGGAGTAAATCGCTGCCACTAACGCTTCGACTCAAGCTCTCTGGCTGGCTCAGCTGCTGGACGATCTCCTTGGCAGAGATGCAGTGGAGCTCAGGGTGGACAACAAGTCTGCCTTGGCCTTGGCAAAGAACCCCGTCTTCCATAAGCGCAGCAAGCATATCCGCGTCAAGTACCACTTCATCAAAGCTGCTTGGACGAGGGGAGTGTCCAGGCCAACTACATCAATACCCAGGATCAGCTCGCCGACTTCCTCACCAAGTCACTTGGGAGAGTTCCAGGAGCTGCTCGCTATAATTGGGATGACTCAAATTCCCCAGAAGATGCCACACAAGACTTAGGGGGAGATTGACAGCTATAAGTCTTGTATCTATCTGTTAGGAGTAGTTGGTGCATGTGTCAGCACCCTTATCATCTGTCTTATCCTAATTAGCATCTTCTGTAGTATCTATTTTAGTAGTTGGCATGTGCTGTAATCCTTTCTTAAGGACCGAGTATGTTGCTCTATATGTATTCCCAAATCTTGCCATGGTTTGTGTGGCTAATGAAATCAGAAATCTGCCCCCAACCTGTGCTTTGGTTGCAACACATACATATATATGGAACCAGCCCAAGGGTGGAGGTAGGAAGGCCAAGGCATGCCAGCCCTGGGGGCGCCTCCCTGTCTGCCGGTGGGCGCAGTAGCGGGCTACCCACCCCGTTTGCTGCCACATTTGCCCCGTCGATTATTGGGAGGAGCGCTCCCGGAATTGGCTGGTCTCGAGGATGGTGGAGGCTGCTGCTCCTGGCGGGGTGCAGGCGCCGGAGGAGCATGCGACGCTTCGGCAGCCACTAGGGCAGTGGAGGGTGTGGTCGACCGATGCGCCTGGTTCAGTTCCTCTATCAGTAGGTCGTTCCGGGCTTCTAGGAACGTGGGGAAGGGACAATTGCACTGAAGGTAAAGGCCGATTGAGGCGAACTTCTAGTTGAGGCCGCGAATCAGGGTGAGGACGAGGGTGCGGCCGGGAATGTGTTCGCCGAGGTCCTTGAGGGCGTCAACCATGCCTTTGAGGCGCCGACAGTAGTCGGTAACTGAGAGGTCCCCCTGGACGAAGGTCCAAAACTCGGCGTCAAGGTGGAGGGCGCGCGTCTCCAGGTTCCCCAGGAACTGTGTCTACACGGCCAGCCACACCGAGCGGGTTGTGGAGCGGGAACGTGGCACCATGGCGGACAACTCGGGGGAGATGGTGTCGTAGAGCCAAGACTTGACCACGTCGTCCATGCACGCCTAGTCCGGGAAGGCTAAGTTGGGGTCGTCTTGAAGGACATGGTCCTCGAGGGCAAACTTCCACAAGGTGAGGAGGAACAGTTCGCGCTACCTGGTGTACTGGCTGGAGGAGGGCTCGAGGATGGGCACAAGAGTGCGGATGTTCTGGACACCGACGGCCTGTGAGTGTAGTATGACGAGGACCGCGACTTCATGGAGAAGCAGCGTGTCGTGGGGGGAGTGCGGAGCGGGCTCTAGGGCGGGGTGGGGCGCGCATGTGGCCTCAGCCCACACGCTTCCTCGACGCTTCGTGTTCCTCGGCCATGAAAGCCGCTCCGCAATGTGATGAGCTCGCTCTCGTTCGGCGGCGGTAGCGCGCTCAATGGCGGCATGCATGTGCTCGTGAGGGCGCTCGCGCTCGGTTGCACTGTATCGCGTTTAAGCGGCGGCGGCGCGATCGCTCTCGAGAGAGAGAGGGGGGGGGAGGGGTAGGGTGGCCAATGGCGATGACCGGAGGAGACGGCGCGCTTTTGAGAGCACGCCTAGGCGGCTGGAAGAAGGCCTCGGAGAAACCGGGCGAATGACATAAGGATTTGGCACAAGATAGTTGATTGATTATAGGGATATGAGGTTACATATATATAGGCCAGGATGACCCAGGTTTATAAAAATGCAAACCAGCGGGAATCCTTGCCTATTAGATAACAACCAACCAACCAATCAATCAATCTATCAATCTATCTATCCTAACCATATAAGCACTAGGCCTGCCTATCACTAACTAATCCTGTCCTACCCTAATAGCTGGATCCTATTGGATCTCTACCATATAACATTTCATCTTAATTGTACTTCTATGCTTTAGAGAGTTATTTTTTCTCATGCCATATTGGATTAAAACTTCCATTTGACTGACCAGTAAAAATGACAGGTGCCTATGATTGGACTTGTAATGAGTGAAAGAGGTTTAATGTCAAGAGTGTTAGCGCCCAAGTTTGGTGGATATCTTACATTTGGGATACTGAATGCTACAAAGACATCAGCTTCTGGACAACCAACAGTTGAGGACTTACTGGACATTTACAACATAAAGTGTATTGGGCCTGATACAAAGGTTCTTGGTCTTATAGCCAACCCAGTAAAGCAGAGCAAGAGCCCAATTTTGCACAATAAATGTCTTCAATCCATTGGATATAATGCTGTTTATCTTCCACTTCTTGGAGACAATCTTGCTAGTTTTCTTGAGACATATTCATCTCCTGACTTTTCAGGATTTAGGTACTAAATCTTGTTCTGCAAAATTGTAAGATATATATATTACATTTGTTTACAAGTTGGGAGATCACTTGGGAGTGGAAACAGTAATTTGGATGGACTAGATTTAGGCCTTGTTTGGATGCACATGTATCCATCTCAATCCACATGTGTTGAAGTGGATTGGAGTGGAATTAAACTAAGTTCCATTCCAATCCATTTCAATACATGTGGATTGAATTAGATACACATGCATCCAAACAAGGCCTTAAGTGGAGTTGAGGACCATATGGATGAACTTTGCTAGCAACTTCTCATAGATCATGAAAGCATATTTGATGGATCCATAACCTAATGTCTCTTAGGTTGGAATCAGAATTTCCCAATCAAAACAGTTTGCATGGTAGCACCAAGCTATATGTTTCTTCTGTAAATTTTTGCTGATATTTTTCCTTTTCTATTTCAAGTTCAGACTTTCATGACATACATAATACAGTTGTATAATTTGGCAAAAATATAATTTTGTTGAAATAGACATTACTTTAGGGCCTGAGTTAACATGGATTGTCCCTGGACAAGCAAAACTGACTTTTCTGTGTCAATCTTTAACAAGTCATTTTCATATGCATATTTTAATGATATTTTTTTGAAAGAATTTTCCTTAGTTCACTCTATATGATCTTATGTTGCAGTTGCTCACTTCCTTTCAAAGTAGATGCTGTACAGTGTTGTGATGAACATGATCCAGTTGCTAAGGTAATTGGGTGCAGCACACAATCTTTAAATGCTTATGTTATTAGTTACATATCATTCTCGATTTGATTGAAATGCTATTCACTGAATATGCAGTCAATAGGAGCGATAAACACCATAATTAGAAGACCAGATGGCAAATTAGTGGGGTACAATACGGACTACATTGGAGCGATATCTGCTATTGAGGATGGCATTGGAGGTTTGTTTAACATTACCTATTCTCTTTTGACACTTGTGCCATGGAAAAGATATCAGATGCTTTATGTTTCACAGGTCCAGGATCAAAGGATGCTGCCAGCTCACCATTGGCTGGTAGGCTTATTGTTGTTGTAGGTGCTGGGGGTGCTGGTAAGGCAATTGCTTATGGGGCAAAGGAAAAGGGTGCGAGGGTAGTTATAGCAAATCGCACCTATGGTAAGATCTCTATTTCTACAATGCATGATGTTTAAGATTATACAGTGAGTACAAATTTACTAACCTGTAGATCCATCCTCAGATCTAAAATCAGAAGGATGTGAGTTGTATTGGTGAAACATAACTACATGCATTGTCCTAACATACAAAATATGCATCTACTATAGGAACATATTCTTTTCCATGTTATTTTGTTTATCTATGATGAGGTTGTCAATCCTAAAGATAATAAAAACGAATACCAGTGTCACAGTCTATATAGAACAACAACAAAGCCTTTTAGTCCCAAGCAAGTTGGGGTAGGCTAGAGTTGAAACCCAACAAGAGCCCTAGTCACGGTTCAGGCACGTCGATAGCTGCTTTCCAAGCACTCCTATCTAAACAAAGATCTCTAGGTATATCTCAACCCTTTAAATCTCTTTTTATTGCCTCCCTCCATGTCAGCTTCGGTCTTCCTCTACCTCTTCTGACATTGGTATCTTGACTTAGGATTCCACAGTGCACTGGAGCTTCTGAAGGTCTCCTTTGGACATGGCCAAACCACCTCAACCTATGTTGAACAACCTTTTCTTCAATTGGTGCTACCCCTAGACGGTCATGTATATCATCGTTCCGAACTCGGTCCATCCTTTTGTCACCACAAATCCATCGCAACATACGCATTTCCGCGACACTCAGTTGTTGGACATGTCATCTTTTTATAGGCCAACATTCTGCTCCATACAACATAGCGGGTCTAGTCGCCGTTCTATAAAACTTGCCTTTAAGCTTCTGTAGTACTCTCTTGTCACAGAGAATGCCAGATGCTTGGCGCCACATCATCCACCCTGCTTTGATCCTATGGCAAACGTCTGCATCAATATCTCCATCCTTTTGTAGCATCAATCCTAGATAGCGGAAAGTATCTTTCTTAGGCACCACTTGACCTTCCAAACTCACCTCTCCCTCCTCATGTGTAGCGTTGCCAAAATCGCATCTCATGTATTCTGTTTTAGTTTTCCATTTTTATGTCTAGATCTTGTTTCCTCTCATGTCTTACAGGACAGTTAGCTTTGTTCTAGCCGAGTAATATTGTTTTGTCATCAATTGTTTCTTAAATGTCTTAGGTGGCATTTGGCTCCTGTTTCTAGCAAGAAATGAGAGAATCTGTGACACTTGGGTGCAGTGGCGTTTGAAAACAAAACAATAGAATCGTTTCTTGTTTCTACACAGTGAAAGAGAAATGGGTGGGACATGGTTTCGCACAAGAATCATCTCCACCCTCTCACCTCCCCTTTTCTTTGCAACTGCTGCCTCCAGTCAAGAAAATTTGATGTTCAGATAAGGTGCAGCAATAGGAAAAAAAAACTGTTTTACTGGTCTGAAACATCATGTTTTGTTGACCGGAGGTAGTAATTACCTGCTTTTGCCATTGGGTCTGAGGCCAGCCAGTGTCTGTTTTGTTGCCTCTGTGGTGCCTATAACCTCTCTTGTTGTCCGTGTTGTGGCGCTAGACCTGATCTGACACGGGATCTCGCTGCCTCTCTTGGTCCAACCCATTTTACTGTTTTCCATGGGCTAGCGCTGCTCCCCTCAGCTGAGGCAAGCTCCACCAGAGCAGCAATGCTATCTCTGCTTTTATTTTTTCCCCTGTGTGTGTGGAAGGGAGAAGAAACGTTGTATAACTTACAGGTGGGCCTGGTATGGTGCTTCCATCATCAACTACTAAAGGTGCACACCTTGAGGCTACACAGAAGCATATTACAGTAGATATTTTCGATGACAAAAAAGAGTCTAGGAAAATATGACTTATCAGGCATACTTAGTGTTAGATATTTAATGCCCTGCTTTACTATTAGCTGGCCTGACGCCTGGGAACCTTCCCAGCGTGCTGCCTTGGCTACTGGGCAGCAGCCATGGTTAATGCTCTGCTTTACTGTTAGCTGGCCTGACGCCTGGGAATCTGCCCAGCGTGCTGCCCCCTTTACTTCCTAGTCCTAGTTCTAGTCCTCTTCTATAAAGTGTAACTCTGTAATCTTCCTTTCAAATCAATACATATGCAATACATCTCTGTTTTCATGCTATCAAGAGGCTTCACGACCCTGTGACCTCTCCCTTCCGCTTCTTCCCCTCAGCCATCCATGGCTCAGCCTCCTTTCTCTGGTGATGCTGCCGCCCCGGGCGCGAGCAGGCTGCCGAGAGAAAAGGAGGCTGAGTGCAGGGAAAGGAGGCTGAGCCACGCAGGCTGCCCTGTAAGCCGCCACTGACATCACCTCACGCGCCACTGCCGATGCCCAGGAGCGTGTCCGTGCTTCCCTCGCCGTCCTCGATTAGAAGCGCGTTGCGCTACAGCTCTGTTGACAGCGATGCTGCTAGCGACATTGATGCCACTGCCTCCGTCACCAACCTCCACGTACAGGCCGCTGCTGTTCAAAACATCTGCTCCCTTGTTCCGCTCGTCCTCGATCCTATGTCCTCCCACTACAATCGTTGGCGCGACCTTGTCTTGCTCACTCTTGAGCGTCAGGGGCGGAGCCAGGAATTGAGTATAGGGGGGGCCATGTATAAGACTAGAACTAGTAAACCATACCAAGTTTTAGTCACATATATAATAGTAATATATATTTCACAAATCTTAACCAAAAGAAAATTGCACATCTATTATCTTAAATTTAGCTCCACGACTACCAATGAGATTATAGGCAATTCGATAAAAGAATACTAGTGACCGTTAATTACTAGATAAAAGAGTAACACTGCATGATTATGGATTACGGATTACCTGCTGCTTCTGGTGGCCTGACCGCCTGACGGAAACCTACAGAAGGCAATTTGGACGGCAGGTCGGCAGCTAGCGCCCGGCGGCGTCAATTTGGGACAGCGGTGGCGACATGGCGCGGCGTCTCACGTTTGGCCTCCCACTACGACAGTACCGGCGTGGCGATGTCCGCCAACCGGCGAAGCAGTCAAGCAGAAGAGAAGACGAGCAGTTGAACAGGCGAGAAACGAAGGAAGTCAGGAAGGCTCGACGCTTCGTAGGCGAGAAATGAAGGAAGCCAAGAAGGCCCGACACTTCATATTCAGTCGATGAAGGGAGCAGAAGCAATTACATGTTCGTGTAAATGGGCTGCTTCTTATTGCAAATACACAGTATACACACGTTTGAAATGAATGGGAGGAGCCTAATTAACAGCATACATGCATGGATATGAACTAGTATATACTAGAGACTAGCAGCACGTCAGGGGTGCCAGGCCCCCCGTGCCCCCCCTCCCACCGCCACTGTTGAGCGCTATCCCTCGACGATCACGTGCTCTCCGACGTGGCTCGTCATGACATCCCGTCCTGGCGCCGGATGGACTGTGCGGAGCTCTCCTAGCTGTTTGGTACTGTCACCGTCGAGCTTCAGCAGTCTGTTCGCATCCGCGGCCGCACTGCACGTGATACTTGGCTTTGCATTGAAGAGCAGTTCCTGGGCAATCGCGAAGCTCGCTCTTTACATCTTGATGCTGAGTTTTGCATGTTTGTCCAGGGTGATCTCTCCGTTGGTGATTACTGCTGCAAGATGAAAGGGATGGCTGATGCTCTTGGTGATGTTAGGGAGGTTATTCCAGACCGCACCCTTCTGCTCAACATTCTTCACGGACTCAACGGGAAGTACGACGATCCACCAAAAAGGAAGAGAGTTTGCATGGCTCGTGGCCCCGCCTCGCGCCGCTCCCGGCCATCGCCTCCGCGGGACCAGCCCCGCCCGTGCTCGGCCAAGGCTCCGCCGCCCTGCTTTGCGCCGCTCCTGGCCATCGCGACGTCGCCTCCACGGCACCGGCCCCACCCGCGCTCGCTTTCCTCCTAACCGGATCTTCGGCGACGCCGACCAACTCCACTCCCTGCTGCTCGCCACTGACTACCTCGTGACGCCTACCTCCTGCTAGACCGTGCCGCCTCTGCGGACGCCGCACGTGGCTCGCGCATGGCGCGCGGGCCGCCCGATGGCCGTGAGAACAACCCGCAAGGGGCCTTCGCGCTCGCCGCCACGCTGCTGCTGAGGGTCGACCAGGGATGGGGCTGGTCCGTGCAACGCGACGCTGATGAGTACCCGCTCGCCAGTCGCCACACCCAATGGATTTTTTGTAAGCAACTTTGCTCTTCTCTCCTCGGTCGCTGCTGCTCCCCTCGTCGTGCTCAACCTCTGTGCTCTGCTATTGCCTCGTCCCCCAATCCCTGGCTGTATTCTTCTTGGTTTTTGTTCTTGATGAATCGCCGGATTAGCTCCCCTGGTGCTCTTGTGGAGCTGGAAGAGGATGTGCACCTTGCCGAGCTGGTCCGTAACTGGGATTTCTCAGTCGGTAAGTGCTTTGAGGCTGATGTGTTCCGAAAGTTTGCCTCTTCTGTTCACCATCCTTTGTCCTCGCTGAAGGCATGTTTCTTCCTGGTCGCCGTCTTTTGCCGCTCTCTCTTCAGACTGACTGAACAGTCTGTCAGCATGGTGCTTCACTGTTGTCTGGGGGGCACTCCGGCTGGTTTTCATGTCACGTATCTGCAAGATCGTCATTTTCGCTTCTCAGTTGCTTCCAAGGATGTGGGTTTTCTTGTTCGTGTTCTCAAAAGAATCACCACAGATCATTTTGATGTTTATTTTTCACTTATGGAGAGATGGTGGTGAAGATTGGGTCAAAGAAAGAAAGAAATGGGAACTCGAAGAAGAGGCAAGCTTGTCACCCATTATTGGCAAGCATAACAAGAAGAACTCATAAAAAATGGTTGTTTTCCATGAGAAGCTTGTTCAAGATTCGCCCCCTTTCAAATCCAAGCCTAAGGAACTTCACTCAGTGATAAAGATTGGAAGCATGTGCTGTCCTATTGTTGATAGTTTTCCATCTGTGATTGGCTCCTCTCAACCTTCACAAAATGATTGGACTGGATTCCCCGCCATCCCTTCATGCCTCAAGCATCATTCAAATTCTACTCCTAAGGGGATTCTTGGTGCTCATCATGTCAACAGGTATATTTCAGTCAAGAGG